ATGACCAAGTGGAATTTATTCCAGGAATTCAAAGTTGATTGAGAACACAAAGGATTATCAATTTAAAGTACCATAAATAGATTTAAAGAAGAAACGAAAATCAAAAGGCTATTTCAATAGATTAAGAAAAAAATTTGTTTTAATTAAACATTTATTCATGATAAAAAGATACAGTAAAATAAATTTGGAAGGGAATATCCTGAACTTGATAAAAGTTATGTAAAAAACCTACAACTAACTTCCTAATTAATAGAGAAATATTAAAGTCTTTCTCCATGAGGATGATAACAAGACAACGATGTCAACTGTTCCCTTTTCTATCCAACATTGTACTATACGTTGCAGCAGTGGAATAAAGTAATACAAAGAAATAAAAGGCATTAGTACTGGAAAGACTCAAAATGAATGAAAATGAAAATACAATACACCAAAACATAAGGCATACTGCAAAAGCAGTTCTAAGAGGAAAGTTTATAGTAATAAATGCATAGTTTAAGAAAAAATAAAGATCTCAAATAAACAACCTAACCTTATACTTCAAGGAACTAGGAAAAGAAGAATAAATAAAACTTAAAATTAGCAAGAAATAACAAAGACAGAAATAAATGAAATTAATGAAATGGAGATTTAAAAAAACAGTAGAAAAGATCAATGAAACTAAACCTGGTTTTTTAAAAAGATAAACAAAAATGACAAATCTTTAGCTAAACTAAGAGAAAAATAGAGGAGACTCAAAAGAATAAAATCAGAAATGAAAGAGGAGAAAATGCAGCTGATACCACAGAAATACATAGGATCATAAGAGACCACTACGAACAATTGCAGACCAATGAATAGGATAACCTAGGTGAATATATTCTATGTTCCAATGACTCTCAAATAATATACCAATCATTCCAATTTTTTTTTGTTCGAATTGCTGTCCTGCTCTCTGGGACTAATTTTCCATATTTTGGCTAAACAATCTTTACATGGATGCATCAGCGACACCTCATGTTTGTCCTGGCTTAATATGAACTCTTTCTCTTCCTCTGTGACTTTGTCTTTGTCCAATCTTCCTTAAGGATGTGCATAACATCACATTCCAAACCACTGCATATACCAGGGATTTAGAATTATTCTTTGGTCATAAAAGTTATCAATTTACCTCCAATGTATATTGTAAATCGATCCATTTCTCTTCATCTTCACTGCCTCTATCCTAGTTCAAGGTATAGTCATCACTCTTTTGGATTACTGTTGCCTATCTGATTTACTTATATTTATTTTTGCCACATTTCATGGAGTCTCCACATTGATGCTATGTCCTAATACTCTAAAAATTTTCAGCATTATTTTAGCATAAATTTGCTTACAAGCCTCTGGCCTCTGTTACCTCAGCAGCTCTATTTTTTACTTATCTCATTTTTCAGTACATCCTATGACTCTGGACACAATTACCCTTTTTTATCACCTTGAATATAATATGATTCACCTCATTTCAGCATCTTAAAGTTCCTGGAATCCTTCATCTTCCCCACCTCCCCCTCGCCAAACACACGCAATAGTTAACGTCTACTTAAATATTTGGCCTCAACACAAAGTGCTGTTTCTTCAGTAAATCCTCCTCTGATATCAAGAATAAATTAATTCTCCTTGTTATATGCTGTCATCTCTCTGGCTACTTTTGCTTTAAAGCACTTATCCCAGTCTATAAGTATATGCTTGCTTGATTATTTACAATAGCATTTTATCTCCCCGCACCAATTAGACCACAATGTCTGTGAGGACAAGGACCACGGCAGTTTTATTGATCATTTTATGCCTACCATGTTTTCTAAACACAGTGGGAACTCTCTCTCTCTCTATATATATATATATATTTTGAGATGAATAAATAATTACTCCTTTAAATTTTTTTTTAAGCACAACTTCCTAACCACAAAAGTTAGAATCCCCTTAAATTTGGTACTCAATAACAATTCAAACAGTAACAAAATTTTCTACTCTTTGTAGGCCCATTATGGTTTCATCAGTGAAGGCATTTTATTGCCTATGTAAGTTCTCAGATTCCATCAATAGGAAATATATCTTTGAGTTGATCTCCTTTCCAACCTTTTGGGATTTAACAACAGGAATTTAGTTTTATCTGTGGGCTGAATTCTCTATGGGGTTCTCTCCCCATGTCTCCAATGGAGGTCCATTATCTTTAGATCCCTGAGCTGCTTATTACTTCCCATAAATTCCAGAAACTCATAATTTCTGAGGGTTGTCAGCTAGGAACACATGTTAATCTCGTATGAAAATTCCTATATTAGAAAGTTGTGTCTTTGCCCCATTGGAAACCTCTGCCATTGCCAAGACTTCAGACTGTGAGTCTCTGCTCATAATCACAGTAAGTACTAAAAACTTGGCATGGTCACATGTATTATATCCCAGAGCATTGGATGGCTCATCCTTAACTTGTCTTTACATTGTTTTGAGAACATCCTGCACAAGAGATTGAACTTTTCCTCTGCCCTAGCAGGATATATAGACTTGGAGAGACTTTTCAAGAGAATTAGGGCTAGAGTTAGAAATTATAAGGTTCATACAGTGCTGCAGAAGTTACCTTGTCTATAAAACAACTGCCAGAATATCTTCGGTATTAATATATTGCTTACATAGCAGAATCACATTCCATCTCCTGCTAAACTCTAGTTGTTTACATATATATAAACAATTACTTCTTTTCTGTGAGTTCAAACTTGCTCCTTCTCTTAACTGTATCATAGAAATGTCAATCGGGGGGAATCATTTAAAAGAATATGGGCAAAATATCAAAGATATAAGGCTGTATATTTGATATGAGGAAGTATAATAACAAATTAGTATTTTGAAAACTACCAGGCCTTTTACAGTTGAATGGGTTACACACTTACAAGCTCTCAAGATGGAGATGTTGTGCTTAAATCCCTCAGAATTCTTATCTAAAACTTCAAGTCAAACTAGCTTCAACTCCAAGGTTGTTTGTGCCTATTATTTGTTAAAATTTGCGGGGCCTGCCAGGTGGTGCAGTGGTTAAGTTCGCACGTTCCACTTCTTGGCGGCCCGGGGTTCGCTGGTTCGGATCCAGGGTGTGGATATGGCACCGCTTGGCAAAAGCCATGCTGTGGTAGGCGTCTCACATATAAAGTAGAGGAAGATGGGCATGGACGTTCGCTCAGGGCCAGTCTTCCTCAGAGAAAAAAAAAAGAGGAGGATTGGCAGTAGTTAGCTCAGGGTTAATCCTCCTCAAAAAAAAAACTGCTATGAATACATTTAGATGACTTTAGTATTCATCAAATTACATCCAGTGTCAAAGAAGGATGATTTCTCCCTATCTATGTTCTCCCATATGTCTATGGTTAGACAATATATGTTTGTCCAAACATAGAGGCAGCAAGAAATATACACAAAAACACATCTAGCTGTTAATATGAACCATCTCTTGTTGGTGATACAAGACAATTTTGATTTTTTTCAGATATTTTTTCTGTACTTAAAAGCAATTATATCAAGAATAAACCCTAATAATTATAACTAAATTTCTAATAATCCTAATCTAAATATCACATTTTAAAACTTTGGTCCATAGTTTTCCAGTCTTTTTTTTTTGTCTTGCCCATAAACCTACAATAGCTTTCACCATGGTAAAGATATTGATAATTAAATGCCTTGGAAAATCAATGATTTTAGGAAAAACCAAATATTGTGTATATCTGAAATGCAGGATGCTAGGAGTTAAAACCAAGGGATGATACTCAACGGACTTATTCATGTCAGGGATTAGCTTATGCACTATACAGGAATTTGAATTTTATTTGAAAGAAAGTTTGAGGGCATGGATTGTTTTAAGCAAGGGAATACCAATTTTAGAAAGATCAGTTTTCTGACAAAAACAAAGAATCATGAGGAGAGACATTTGTGACGAGGTAAGATTACAGAAACAGTAGTACTGAAGAGAAGGGTGCATGAGTGAAGTAAAGGAGAAAAATCAACACAATCAGGAAACAATTGTTTGTGGAAAAAGAAGGCTGTTTCTTAGTTTCAGGCCTGGCTGGTTTGACCCCTGTGCAGACGAAAAAGTACATGAAAAACAACTGAGTCTGAGGAAAGATAATGAGTCTAGTCTTGAACATGATTCTGAATATACAATGGCAGTTTCTTCAATATGGTGGACAAGTAATTCTTGTTTACTAAAGAAAATGAAAAGCACCTTATTACCAGTACCTAAATCCTGTTTTTGTACATCTTTATAGGTGCTGTAAGACTGAACTAGAAAAAATATTTGCTATGGTTTGTCTCCATTATGCATCGACAAATTCAGTCATGATCACTTCACTTCTCTTCAAGCTATTCTTTTGTGACCTTCTTGGAAGTCTATACAAAGGAAAATATCAAAGAAAAGCTATTCATCTTCCAATGTGCAGCGTGCTTTATGTTGACAAATCTTTAAAGTCTGTGCTATCGAAGGTTTAGAATGATATATAAAACTTTAGTGGGCATCTGTAACAACTTGGAATGGTGCAGCCACAAAATTTAATCTCCCATCAATCCACATTTAAACAAATCTATTTATTGTTAGTTAATAAAAATCTGAATCAAGCAAGTTTGAGCCAAATATGAAGAAGACAAACGCATACACTTGACTCTGCAAAACTTCTGAAGAGACACACAAAGATTTAAAAAAAGAAAAACTAGAGTCATATTTATGTGGTTTTCCCAATCTGAAATAGTGAGGATAATACAAACAGACATTTGAGATTCATGCTGAATTTTCCCTGAATAGTAAACACTGACAATTGCCACTTCTAAATTTACCTTCTACACCTTAGAATTTCATTTTAATTTATTTCAAATTACTATAAGAGATGGACTACAGAATTCACTTTGTTATAGCACAAAACTACAGTATGTGGAGATAGCTTAAAAATAACATTTAATGAGGATTATGCTCAGAGAAAGCAACTTTAAGAAACATTTTTGTCTCTTAGGAAAATATGTCTGCATCTCTGATAGGCACTAATAGCTCCAAATTGCAGGTATCTGAGTTCATCCTGATGGGATTCCCAGGCATTCACAGCTGGCAGCACTGGCTCTCTTTACCACTGGCATTACTCTACCTCTCAGCAATTGGAGCTAATATCCTCATCCTCTTTACCATCTGCCAGGACTCTGCTCTTCAGAAGCCTATGTACCATTTCCTAGGCATCCTCTCTGTGGTGGACATGGGCCTGGCCACCACCATCATGCCCAAGATCCTAGCCATCTTCTGGTTTGATGCCAAGGTCATTAGCCTCCCCGAGTGTTTTGCTCAGATTTATGCCATTCACTGCTTTGTTGGCATGGAGTCTGGTATCTTTCTCTGCATGGCTTTTGATAGATATGTAGCTATTTGTCACCCTCTTCGCTATCCGTCAATTGTTACCAATGCCTTAATTTTAAAAGCTACCCTGTTCATGGTGCTTAGAAATGGCTTGTGTGTCATTCCAGTGCCTGTGCTTGCAGCCCAGCGTAATTATTGCTCCAGAAATGAGATTGACCACTGCCTGTGCTCAAACCTTGGAGTCACAAGCCTGGCTTGTGATGACAGGAGGCCAAACAGCATTTGCCAATTGGTTCTGGCATGGCTGGGAATGGGGAGTGACTTAAGTCTTATAATATGGTCATATACTTTGATTCTGCGCTCTGTACTTAAACTAAACTCAGCTGAAGCTGCATCCAAGGCTCTGAGCACTTGTAGCTCCCATCTCATCCTTATCCTCTTCTTCTATACAGTTGTTGTAGTGATTTCAGTAACTCACTTGGCAGAGACTAAGGCTGCTTTGATTCCAGTTCTACTCAATGTGCTGCACAACATCATCCCCCCTTTTCTCAACCCTATGGTTTATGCACTTAGGACTAAAGAACTTAGGGTGGGCTTCCAAAAGGTGTTTTGTTTGAGCTTTGAAAAAAGGCCCTGGAGAACTTGTCCATGATATACCTGAACTTCAGTAGTAGAATTTCAAAGATGATGGGAAAAGTAAATGCCTTTGAGATAGATCTCTATTTCGCATTTTATATAACCTTGTGAAAGCATCTAAAAAGAAGAAAAAAAACCTTTATGGTAGCTTAAAAATATTGACAAGAGTAACATATATGTGAGAAAAGGAAGGACTTTCTACCAAACCAATTAAATGAGATCAAAACCAGAATTAATGATTTATATGTCTCTCCTAAAATAAAAATGAATATAATAACAAACTTATACACACACACATGCACATACACAACTAAAGAAATAAGAGATTGGGACATGAATTACAGATCATTCTTGATCGTTAATAGGTATAACTTGTGAGCAAAGTCAAGTCTGCTTCAAGAAGCATCATTTCAGTAATATGAATGAAGACGCAAGAATAGAAAATACTTCAGATGAGCAAAGCCAAACCAGACTATGATGGGGCTCTTGGTAGAATATGGCAAGGTGATCACACTTGCACAAAAAGAACACCAAAGACATAGATAGATAAGTAGATAGATAAATGAGAGAGAAAGAGAGAAAGAAATGTACGTGTATAGAAAGATCTGTCTCTTACTCCATTTGCCTCTCCAGGTTTGTTCTCTGCACTTTCTGTGCTGTTCAGTGCCATAGAGGACTGAAGCTCATGTAGTCTATAACCCAAACTTCTTTGTCTTCGAGCATTCCGTTGGTTGAGCCAATGGAAGTCACTTTCAGGAGATTAGAGTGCAAGAAGAGAAATAGTTTGGGTTGTTTTTCTGCTGCCAACCTGCTTTCATATCACGTTTCTGACTAGAAGAGCCCCTTAAGCACTTGGCAGGTAGCCCATCTGCTACAGCTACACCTCTTACAGTTTTCCTCAGGAACATTTTTTCTTCCCTTTCCCCTTCAGGATAAAGGAATGATAAACTCTTTATGATATTGGTCTCTGGATATCCAACATCCATTATTTTTCTCAACACCCATTATTGTTTCCTCAATCCCACCAACATCTCAGTTAATAGTAACTTCATTAAATCCTCTCAGACTCACAATGGTGTGTAACTTTGTTTTTTGCCGGGACCCTGACTGTTTCACTAGCTTTGCCTACATCACCAACACCTCAATTACAACTATTCCTCTGCTACTGTGACTACAGCCACACAGCATACAGTCAGCTTGAGTAGGTGAGAAGGAGATCTACAGATGAACAGAAATAAAGAAATCTGTAAGGCAGGAGGCAGATACAGGATTTTTAACCCAGCAGAAAGTCTTACCTGAAAATTTTCTCCTTTTTCACAATCTTAACACCAATGACTAGCAGAAATAAAGCTTACCCTATTTGTGTCATGTATTTCATTATTATCTGGGCTGGTTTCCACTGAGCTCATGATTAGAGTGTTTTATTAAACAGATGGAATATTTTATGGGTAATCTCTTGAAAAAATGAGGATTAATTTGGGATGAAGGCCCACCAGATGCTAGTAACATTATTACACGTTGCATAATGTCATTCACTCTTCAGTTAGATGTGAAAGGTAAATTCTATCTGTTCTCGGGCACTATGAAAATAACATGAATCGTATTCCTTATCAGTTTGGCTTTCCACACAATCTTGAAGTAGATTATATTCATTTAAAGGCTAATAAAGGGAAAACCCAGTGTTCTATGGACTCATAAATCTACTTTCTGTAATAATGATATATTTCAAAACATTAAGAAAATTTAAGAAAATATATTTTGCAGAAGTCCAATGAAGAAACAAGAAGATGGCATTTCTATTCAATAACAATGGCCATGATAAGGGGGAAATTCAGTGAAACAAAACAGAAATGAAATGTTATTCTACTAGAGATAACTTATACATTATAGTCAAACAGAACTGAAATGTCAGAAATTTATTCAAGAGTCAGGTGAGGACAATTTGCAAAACAGAAAGGAAATGAAGAGAAAAAAGTAAGAGAAGAATTAAGGAATATAGACCATGGATTTCCAAAATAAGTCATTATATGTTGTCACATAAAGAATATCGAGACAGCTGCAAAGATTCTGAGGAGCAGAAGTTTTCTGAGAGCATTGGTCAGAGGCTATTGGACCAGATGAGTTACTCTGCAACTTTACATCCTGAGCAACTCTGAAAGTTGTTTTTACCCAGGTTATCTGTGGAGAACTTGTCCATCTTTAGTGGAATTTTAACATCATAGATCTTCCTTAACTGAGTGGGATGGTTCCCACTCAGGTTTATGAAAATTAGCTTGATGAACTCAAAAAACCTTTTATTAAAGTTGATCTCAACAGCAATGGATTAATTTGTGACTATGAACTTCTTTTGCTTTTCAAGGAAGCTAATATGTCATTACCAGGATAAAAGGAGTGAAATTATTCAAAAGTCTATTCTAGATGGTGACAGGAATAAATATGGGAAGATATGTTTTGACAGATTTGTTTATACTTCTAAGTGATAAAAAGCAGTGATATTACCAAAACCTCCCACAAAACAAATCAACAGGAAAGAACGAATTTGGCCTGTGAAAGGAATTTTAGAGCTGTCCAGTTAAGGAATTATTTTACTCTCTTCTCCTAAATTGCTGCCCTTGACATTTCCCCTATGCTATTTCTCTCTATCTTTTTTCCTGTTAGAAGATCTACCTTTTGGAATTTGCTTAGATGATTGGATATGAATGTTATTGGACATTAATTTTGCTTTCTGCCCATTGTGCTAGTTCTTATTCAAGATCTATGGTCACAGGGTATGTGCATATGAATGTCCTATTTTTTCTTATAGAACTAAATATTTGCCAAAGATATTAACTCTGTAGAATATAGTAGAAGCTATTCATATTTTTATTCTTCAACTAAGTGTTTTTATGATATTCTTCCTACATGATCTTTTTTGTACATTTATAATATTTTTATTATATTGAAAAAGACTTCTGATTTTGCTACTTTTTAAAAGAGGTAAGTAAAAATAAGTAAGTAAATACATACAAGTAAGTATGTATATAGTAAGTAAAAATACATTATAGGTAGAGGAAAAAAGTATCTTGAATTTATATCTTCTCTCTCATACCCAAGGTGTAAACAATTGACATATTTTGCCTTAATACACTTGATTTGATACATACCTATTTGTTTTAAAACTTGTGTCATCAAACTCTCTCGTTAAATTTAAAATGATGTTGAATATGACGCTTCTGAGTAGAGAGTGTACTCAGAACTCAAACAGGATACAACAGGACATGTAGGTTCCATGAATAATTTTACACCTAAAACAAGGAGATGTGGTCACAAAAATTGAGAATATATGTGTTGGACTTAATGTACTCTTGCTTTATCAAGCTGTTTGCTTTGGTTTTCAAGATCATAATGTTACTTTAACTGAAAAGCGAGGTAATCTGGTAGCAATGCATTAGTTCAAATGAAAGCTTCACATACTAAAGAAGAGAAAATCAAGCAAAAGGAAGAGAAGTACTCATTAAAAATATAAATTAAAGGACGCATTGTATACAAATATAGAGTCTTGAGTCTGGAAATCAAGAGGATTTCTTCTGGTTTTAAGAAGCATAACCTCTCTTAAACCAACATCAGCCAAAATTGGTCATTTAATACAAGGACCTAGAGGCTTATTATACAAGCCAGAAAGTGAAACTGGACTTCCTGATTCAGAAATTTGAGTTCCATAAGGAATTAAGTATTTCCTGTTCCTTTGAGCTACATGGGTATTGTCTTGCGTGTGTGTGTGTTTGCGTGTGTGTTTATGTATGTGTGTGTGTGAAAGACAGACAGAGACACAGAGAGTCAGACAGAGACAGAGAGAGAATTGGCATAATTTTTCTCTTCATGTAGGTCAGTTTTCCCTACTTCTCTACGCATGTGGCCAGGTATGCATTCATATTTTCTAGGGTCTGAAACGCATGTAAATTTTGAGGTCTACCTGAAAAAAAAACTACAAAATAAATATTTGCTTAGAATGAAAAAGGAATTTATAACACAACTTTGAAAGCTGACAAATTGCATACATATCATAGAATCCCTTTAAAAATCCCAAGAAAAATGGTACATATCACTTTTATTAATTAATTACTTTAATTAAATAATTTACTTCCTGGTAAACATCTATAGCAAAATTTAAAGAAGTTTTCATTCTGGATGTAATTTCAAGCTTAGACAATAGTTGTAAGAGTAGAAGTGCCGCATATTCTTTACACAGATCCACTAATAGTTCACACTTTGCTCATTTATCATTTTTCTCTTTCTTTCCACTTGTACATAAATATATGTATATATTATTTTTTTCTGAGCAATTTGAAAATAGGTCAGTTGTTTACTCAAATATTTCAACTTTCATTTTCTAAGAAGAAAGGAATTGATTTATATAAACATAAAACAGAAAACAAAATTAGAGAAATTATATGGACACTTTTCTACAATCTAATCCAAAGTCCATATACAAATATTTTCAAGGGTCTTTATAAAGTCCTTTATAGCAATTCCTTCCAGTTTGGGATCCGATCTTGATCAAATATTTCATTTTATTGTCATGTGTTTTCATTTTAATATTGAATATTTCTTATGCTTCTTTGGTCTTTATATTTTTTTACTCAATGATAGGTATTTTGCAAAATATCCCTCAATTTTGTATTATATGATATTTCCTCAAAGTTAGTGCAGCCAGCCTGGGGGCACAGCAGTTAAGTTTGCATAATCCACTTCAGGGACCTGGGGTTTGCTGGTTTGGATCCCAGGTGTGGACCTGCACACCACTAGTCAAGCCATGCTGTATCAGGCGCCAAACATATAAAGTAGAGGGAGATGGGCAGGGATGTTAGCTCAGGGCCAGTCTTCCTCAGCAAAAAGAGGAGGATTGGTGGCAGATGTTAGCTCAGGGCTAATCTTCCTCAAAAAAGAAAAAAAAATAGCGTGGTGGCCATTGACATGCACCTCTCAGATGTCCCTTCAAGAGAGGCTGATGTACGTAGTTCTGTTGACTGACTTCCG